CATTGATTTCAAGAATTTGAAAATCGAAACGAAGAGAAATATTTAAAGTTTAAAGTTTAAAGTTTTATTTATTTATTTTAGTTTGTGTAGTTGTTTTACCTTAACAGTGCCTGAACAAGAACAAGGAACTTCGAAGAAACTTTCTTCTTCTTCTTCGTGACAGATTCTACAACGCGAGATTCTCAATTTCGAATTCGTCGTCTCATCTATGAACAAAACTACATCTCCCATCTCTCTCTCTCTCTATTGATCCTTCGATGATTTTTTGAGTTTTTTTTTGGAAAGTTCTTCGTGCTCTGTTTTTTTTGTTATCCTCTGAAGAAACAAGAAGAGAGAGACTGCAACTTTTATACACAGCCTTTTTAAGTTTTGAAGCATAAATGTATCCGAAATTCCTATTTTACCCTTCCTTACTTATGTCTTTTTGTTATTTTCCGTAAGTATAATAATGTTTTTTTCCGAAATAATGCCCTTCGTTAGAATATTTCCTGATTATTTGTGAGAGATAAATTAAAACAAAATTAGTAAAAGAAATATATTGCATGAAACAAACCAGGAATTAAAATATGCATATGGCAGCTTTGACGTATTTCAAGAACTTTATTTTGGTTTTAGCGTTTCAAGAACTTATTATAGGAGGAAATAAGTATGGGATTTATAGTATTTTCCATCAGATAATGTCTAATCATAATGTAATGTGATTGAAATTAACTGTATATATACTCTAATATTCTTTTTGAGAAACGGCCAATAAAAGAATAATTAAAAGTTAATACAACAAAACGCGGTTTCTATAAGAGCTGGAAATAATTGATTATTTAAAATTAGGAGTTGAAGCAAAAAGGACGTATAATTGTCAACTATGAAATCATACAAGTCAACATACACCTCGACTTTTCTCATTTATTTTCTTTATGAAAAGTATTAAACGGAGAGAGAACTTTACCTATAATGATTTTTTTTTTATGAGTCTAAATTTATTATTATTCGATTATAAATTATGAGAATTGTTTACAATGGATAAA